TGGTGGTGTTCCTCTCCTCTTCGTTCCTCCCTCCCTCTCCTCCCCCCTCTTCTCACGCGGAGGAGAACGCTCCCCTCCTCCTCCCCGCCCGTTCCAGGATTTTCCAGAGATCCGTTCGGCGCCCCGGCGGCGCGAATTAGGCGGAATAACGGTGATGATAGGGATATATCCTCGCGAAACGTCGACGATAATCCCTCCGTCCTTCTTCTTCCTCTTCCTCCTCCTCCCCTTCCTCCCCCCCCTTCCTCCCCCCCTCCCTCTTCCTCTCCTTCTCTGGGATTCGAATAGTAGTAGTAATAATAATAATGATAACAACAACGTGAACAACAACAGGAACAACAACAAGAACGAGAACAGCAACAACGTCGACGGCGACGAGGAGGAGAAGTGTATGGTGGATTGTATCGTGACGAGAAGGTGGCTCGATACGGTGAGGCAGACTCCTCGGCCGAAGAAGCACGTGCGTGGACGAAAGCACGTGCGGATGAGCACGTGTCCGGTGTTTTCGTTCGGCAAGAACGCGCACTCGGATCGCGCTGATAACGAAGCGACCGACGACGCGCGCCGCTGTTGTGCCAACCGATGCGCCCGAGATATAATGCGTTGTCGTCGGATAATAATCGCGGAGGGAAATACTCACGACGGTGGAAATGAAAGAAAAAGAAACGTCGAGCTATCCGCGTCGACCCGCTCCTCCCATTGGATCCACAATGGGACCCGGAACACGGGTTCAGAGGCGATCAGGAGGCCACGTGGCCTCCACGACGACGACGACGACGACGACGAGACGACGAACGCTCGCGAAACGTAACGTACGTACGTACGTACGTACGACCACGACCACGACAATGAGGATCGGTGTAACGACGGCAACGGACACGCCACGACGAACGCGATAAAAACGTCGCGTTGACAAGTTAGTCGGTCGCGATTGGCTTTCACGAATTTTTGTTTTCTCACTCGCTTGTACACGACGCGCACGCGAGCGAGCGAGCGAGCGTGCGCGGCCGGGATACGCACTCGCGCACACCACTACTTCTTTTTCTTTTTCTTCTTCTTTTTCTTCTTCTTCTTCTTCTTCTTCTTCTTCTGTTGCACAGAAGCGACGACGACCACCACACGTGTATATACGGCGATCGACCACGATATGCGTTTTTCGCGCGCGATCTCTCTCTCTTTTTCTCGCTTGGCCGGAGGAGGACTTCTTCAGGGAGAGAGGGTCTCTTCCGGTCTCCGCGGAGTGTGTCTCACTGCTCCTCGCTCCGTCGTAACTTTTGCGCAAACCCGGGACCCTCTCTTACTCTTTTACCTCTCTCTCTCTCTTCTCTCTCTCCTTCCTTCTTTTCTCTTCCTCTTCTCTCTCCTCTCCTCTCTGTCTCTACCGCTCTATCCTCGTCCAGGCTATGATATTTCTCTCTCTCTCTCTATTTCGCTCCCTCTCTCTGTCTTTCTCTCTTCCTCTGCTTGGTCCTAGGTAAACGCGGAGAGAGGTAGAGACTCTGGGCAGTCGACGAGAGACTACGATGGTAGTGGTGGTGGTGGTGGTGGTGGTGGTGGTGGTGGTAGTGGTAGTGGCGACGGTGGTGGTGGTTGATGCGATTCGCCGATTGTGATGGTGGTGGTAGTGCACGAATACCGGTCGAAACGCGCGTATATACTATTGTTCACCGATCGGAACGTGGCAGGACGGTGACAGTGACGATAATGGTAACGGCGCTGGTAGTAGTGACTCCTCTCCACGACGATGACGACGACGACGACGACGACGACGACGACGACGACGGCGACGACGACGACGATGGTGGTGGCGATGGTGGTGGTGGTGGTGGTTGGTGGTAGTGGTGGTGGTGATGGTGGTGGTGGTGGTAGTGGTGGTGGTGATGGTAGAGAAGAGGCCAGGTGGGCCCCGTGGCTTAGAGGCGAGGCCAGAAAGGGTTGAGGGTCCGAAAAGCACGGTTCTCTCTCTCTCGAGAACTGGCGGCGGAATACTCACGCTAGAGAGGAGACCTCGCGAGCCTCGTGAGTTGGTTTGTAAAGGGACCGTAGTATTGGTTCCTCGTCGAGTGGCACCTCTCTTCTCTTCTCTCTTCCTCGCTTACTCGCTCTCCCTCCACCTATCTCTTTCCTGCGCTTACTCTTTCCTCCCACCATATTGCCCCTCCACCACCTACCTACCTACCACACCACCACCTTCCTCTCCTCCACTCTCCCTTTCCCCACTGGTGCTCTCACTATTACATTACAAATAGCTCTCTTGCCTAGGCCACGTTTGTGAGGTGTTGCTCCTTCCGTGTACGTTTATATATTCGCCTCGAGTGTGTGGTGCGTGCGTGTACGTACGCGCTGTATGTATGCCGCTCGCGCGATTACAAACTCGCCTCGATTCACGTGTGGAGCCTGTGTTTGTGTTCCACGATGCACATGCACCAACTGTCGTACGATAAGAGCACAGACTTTGTCTCTCTATCTTCTTTCCTCCGTCTTTTTCTTCTCCCTCCCT